AGATAGAAAGAGAGCACAAGTAGGCAGAGAGGCAGGCAGAGGGAGAGGGAGAAGCAGACTCTCCACTGAGCAGGGAGCCCGACGTGGGGCTCGATCCCAGGACCCTGGGATCATGACCTGAGCCGAAGGCAGCTGCTTAACCGACTGAGCCACCCAGGTGCCCCTGCGTCTCATTTATTTATATTCCTAAACTTGGGAACAAGTCAGCATCGAAACAAAGTAACAAAGAAAACAGCTTACAGCAGCTGGAAATCGCCAAGTCACTGTGCTGTGGAACCAGCCTGTGCACCTGGCTGCCACCTGGAGGATGGGGGTCTTGTGGGGAAGACACCCCACAGCAGGAAGCTCATTCAAGGTCTGGCATCTACCCAGGCTTTCCCTGCTTATTATTATTCTGCTCCTCCATTTGGTGAGGGGTGGTCCTCTCGGGACACTGTCCACACCCCAGACCTCAGGCCCAGCTGCTGTGCGCTCACCCCAACCTGGGTCCCAGGCCCACAGGGGGTGGTGGTGGTGACTGGTGGCCCCACTGTCTACACATGCCTTGTTAAAAACGAAAGAAAACCGAGATTCCAAATATACTCAGAGGCACCCCCTGCACCTGGGATACACCTCAGTGGGTTCTGCTCTTGGGGACCACTGCCCACGGGCCTGCGTTGCCTGGAGGGCCAGTGAAACATGGCCCCAGAGGGCTCACCCTGCTCTGAGACACCCCAAGTCTGCCTGGACCTCCCCATGGGAACCAGGGTTCCCCGTGCTCTCACCCCAACCTCGCTGCAGCCTCCCGAGCATTGGGGGAGCTCAGAGCAGTGCGCACATGGAGGTCTGGGCCACCTGGCCCTCTGAGCCCCTGAACTGGGGTGGAGAAGCTGTGCAGGTGGGATGGAAGAAGGCCAGACGGTGTCCAGGCAGGCAGGACCCATGGCGTGCTGACTGCGTGGCCGGCGCTGGAATGGGGGTGTGTCAGGAGCCCCAGCATGAGTGCCTCATTCCCAGACCTCCGGCCCAGGTCTGGGTGGAGGCCCCTCTGCTCCCTCCGACGGGGACTCTCCCCGGAGGGGCTGAGCCTCTTCCAAATACATCCCAGCTGTGAAAGAAAGGCGGTCGTTACTCACGGCCACTTGGTGCCCAGGGTGTGCACAGCACAGAGTCCTTGTCTGGGAGCTACTGCTGAGGCCTTGCACCCTGCAAGGCCCTGTCAGACTCATGGACACACAAGCTTTTGAAGAAGCACTTGGGGCCAGCATGGACAAGGTCAGGGCAACAGAGACAAGAGCGTTCTCTGCAAGGCCGGCTGCCCTCATGGTGCGTTCGGCGCCTGGGTCTAGGCCCAGATGGAGCCTGCCGGGTGGCCACCTTGGCTGGCATCACCATGCATCTGGGGGTAAAAAGGTTCTGGCCCCAAAACGTGTCAGTTCTGTGTTTGCCGTTCTGATCCCAGAACACGAGTGCATGTGTGCGCCCCAGAGCATCCTCTGTCAGGGCTCCAGGGCAGGGGCTATGAGTGGATGTCGGGGAGGCCCCTATTCTCAGGACAGGGTGCTGGGTCCCCCAGGAGCCACTCCTAACAGAGGGGTGCCCTGGAGGTTGGGGCAGGTGGAGGTGGTCCCCACTGGCTTCCGTGGCTAGGCCTCTGGGGAGTGACTGCACCAGGGGCCAAGGGCCCCCTCCTGTTGCAGGAATTCCTGAGGTCTCAGAAATAACTCCACACCACTCTCTTGGGTATGCAGTTTCCAGGGGGTTTAGACAGCAAGGTCCTGGGGAGGTTGGTCAGGGGACAGGGGTAACAGGGGAACAACCTTGCTGGCCAGGGTGCCCCTCCTGGGGGGGCTGTATCACGTCTGTGACTGTGCTTGGGAGCATCTGGAACAAGGTGGAGACATGGCCAGGCAGTCTGGCTGCTGGTGGCATGCTCAGCACCTTAGGGTGGCAGTGGACAAGAGCATCCTCCCGTTACTTCAGGGTAGCTGGTACAGCCTACTAGACAAACCACTGTCCAGAAACCTTTGTTCTGGCAGAAGGAGAGGAAATCACTGATTAGAGCCCACGTCACTGGTCATTGTCAGTGATGTGGGGCGTGTGGACTAAAGACCCGTCCCCCACACTCTACGCTCAGCATACCCTCAGACTCGGCCCTTCCCTCTGATGCTGCCCAGAAGCTGGACTGGAGTGTCTCCCCAGAACTGGGGGGGATGGGGGTGCCTCCGCAGAACGAGGACCGTGCTTGCCAAAGTGGATACGTGTGTGACCTGAGGCTGGGCGAAGGTCAGTTGAGACGATCTCTGTGAAAGAGACTTCCTCTCTGAGTGTTCCCCTCCCCTGGTCACCCCATCCCTCCCTCTCAGGGGTGATGTGTCTGTGTGTACGTGCAGGGCTGTGTTTGGGCTCTCCCCTGCTGGCAGTGGACAGGGAAGGGCCAGGTCACAGGCAGAAAGACCCACCAGGATCCCTGGGCGGGTCCTGAGCCTCCCACGCCGGGGCGGGGGGGCGGGGGGCGTCTCAGGAGAGGGGACTCACCGTTGTGGTGTACTGGCTGGGCATCTGCAGCCGTGAGCCCCTCCTGGGGACAGCAGGGGAGGCGCTCTGGGGGCCCCCCTCAGAGAACAGCCCTGGGAGCCCAAGGCCACTGTCCCCCGATGACGTGCACTCCGTCACTGCAAAGAGGGGCTGGGTCAGGGCTGGCTGCCCTCTCACCTCTGCGCTCAGCACTCAAGGCCCCCCGAAGCGTGTAAATAATGAGGCGTGTCCTGTGCGTGCAGACTTATCCCAGGACAACCGTGAGGCTGGGACAGAGCAGACCGGATGGCGCTGCTGGAGGCCACACACCCTTATGAGCAAGTGTCTCCCGACCCTGCTTTTCCGAAATCAGCCGACTGGGAGGGTCGGCCTCTCCAAGCAGGGAGCCTCCGGCTCACACCAGGCAACTCGAAGGGGAAACACAGGAAATGAGACCAAAGAAAGGCCACCTGGCTTAAATAAAGAGCTGGAGCAGGTCGGACGAGGTCTCCGCCCCAGAGGGCCGTCGGGGTCTGCTCTGTCAGTGCAGATGAAGCTGCAGCCTCGGCCCTGCCCGCCGCGTAGGCACAGACTCCCGTCGGCTGGCTTCTGTGCAGGGGTCACAGTGCTGTTTCTGCCCGGAGCTGAGGCGGGCTGAGCAGAACCCTCCTGCACAGACCCTGCACCTCCACGGGAGAAGAGAAAGCCCCACCTCCAGACTCGGGCTTCAGTGGGGTGTGCCAGCCCACGTGGGAGCTGGCGAGGACGCCAGCAGGAAGGTGCCGTGGCTCTGGGCTGGCAGCGTGGGTGCGCCTGGAGCCGTGCTCCCCGTGGGCCCGCCCAGGACACAAGCTCGACCAAGGTGGCCGCTGTTCTGAGCAGGTGTGCAGCCCCTGGAGCACCTGGGCACCCCCACAGGTTTCAGGCCCAATGCCTCCATCTGGGCAGAGACGGGTTTGGGGTTGGTGGTGCCCTCCGAGTGCTGTCACGGTGGCAAAGTCACGCTGGGGGCTTGGAAGCACGTGTGTCCCGAGCAGTGTTGCCCTGAGGAGGGGCCTCAGCAGGGCTGTGGTACTGTGGGATGGATTTTTCTGGGAAACCAGATACCTGTGACCCCCCACGTCACACCTGTGGTGATTCTGCACACGCAGGAGGCTGAGGAAACCAGCCAGGTGGCCCTGCCAACACATCCGCTCCCTCCACGTGGAGCTGAGGCCAGGCCAGCGCTCACAGACCACAGCACCACTGTGTATCCGGGGCGCGGTTGAACAGGTGGATGTACGAGCCCGGCCATGCGGCCCAAGCATATGGACACAGTCCACAAAGCACATGCGTGTCGCTCACAAAAGGGCGTTTGTGCTCCATTCCCACTCCCCGCGGTCACGGATATGCTCAGCCTTCATCCCTATTTTCCCATTAGTCCTTCTGTTCTCTGTTCTCTTCTTCTCTTTCTGCTACGTTCTTTGGGATTGAGCTACTCTTACAATTCCGTTTTATCTCCCTGTAGGTGTATTGGCTGTAAGTCTTTGTTTTGTTATTTTAGGGGTCATTTGGGGTTTAAAATGTCTATCTAACAAATTAGGTGCCTCCCGTGGTATTGTACATCTCGGCCACGATACAGAACCGCCACATCTCCATACGTTCTGTGCACACACATCCCACCGGCCTCAAGGACATTAATGTGGTGACCCCTTTCCACCGTGCTTGTTCAGACAGCCCACTGTCTCTTACAGAGCTTTCAACAGAAGAGTCTTCCTTTCTGCCGCCTCTGTTCCACCTAGTGTCACTGTCCTTCTCCCTGGAGAACATCCTTTAACATTTCACGTGTGCTGCTGAGGAACGGTTTCAGCTTTCATGTGCATGAAAATGTCCTTGTGTCACCATTTCTGAAAGACATATTTGTCACGCTGAACTCCAGTTTGATGGTTTTTCCTTTCAGATCATTCTAACTGTCCCTCCCCCACCCCGTCGTCTGCGATGAGAAATGTGCTGCCACCCTGCACTGTCCCTGTGCGCAGAACACGCCGACTCTCTCTGGCTGCTTTCAAGATGTTCTTTCTGTTCGTCACCAGGTTTCCAGTTTGTGATGTGCATTCATGTGTGCTTGGGGCTCATTGGCCTTTGGGCCTGTAGGTTTACACCCTTCACCAAATCAGGGAAATATTCAGCCACTGTTCCTTCAAAGTTTTGTTGTCCCTCCATTTTGGGGCTCTATTACGTGTTTATGAAGTCACTCGGAGTTGTCCCACGGCTCACCGATCTTCTTCCTTGATTCTCGGTGTGTCACTTTGGATAATTTCTATCGATACATCTCCACTAAGTCATGCTTTATGTTAACCCTACCCAGTGACACGTTCACCTTAAGTATTGTGGCCTTTTATCGTGCTTAGTCCGTCTTATCTTCCCTGTTGTGACTGAACATTTTGGACATCAGGGACAGAGAATGATAGTGTGAATGCCAGGACTGGTAATTCTAACAACCACATCAGTTCCAGCTGGTTTTGCCTGATTATTGCTCTTGTTATGGTCCGTTTCCTACTTCCTTGCATGCCTAGCACCAGACAGTGTGTATCTACCCTGTCGGCTGCTGGATATTTTTGTAATCCTATAAATCTCCTTAGGCTTTGCTCTGGGATGCAGTTAGATTACCTGCAAACGCCCTGTATTTATGACATGGTGGCAGGTCAGCAGGAATGTTCAGTCCAACACCCCTCCTGAGCAAGCCCTCCTGAGGACTTACCACCGCCCTGGGGATGGGGCTGTTGCCCGTCTGCTACTGGGAACAGGTGTGTGTGTGGGGGGGGCGGTACTCTCTAGTCCTCCACATGTTCCGGCCTGGACAGCCTCCTCGGGTGCGGTGCTGACCAGCCTTCTGCTGGACCCAGACCTTGGTGCGGTGCTGACCAGCCTTCTGCTGGACCCAGACCTTGGAGGCCTGTCACCGGGCGGGGCTCCCCCGGCCTGTCCTTCACTGAGGGTCTGCAGGCTCTCCGTACTGCACCCGGGGGCTTTCAAGGGAGAAATCAGAGCAATTACAGGGCTCACATCACAGTCCTGTCTCTCAGGTCATTACCTTTGGTGCCAGATGTCCTATGTCTTAAAATCTTGTTTCATATACTTTGCTCATGTTTTGTTTTATCTGGTTTTCGTTTGCTTGGTTGTTTTAAATCTATTCTCCGTCACCTTGTTTTAGGTGGAAGTGAACGTTTTTGTTGTTTTTTTAATTAAAGAAAAATTATAATGTGTTTGAAGACTTTTGGAAGTATATAAGAGCAAGCAAGTTAAATGACCAGGTGAACTGCCGCCCACCCCTGGACCCAGCTGTTGGAGGCTGGAGCGTGTGCTGCTAGGCGCACTCACGCATGGAAGGCTGGCTCCCCGTCTCCTGCTCCAACTCATCCTCCTCCTCGAGGCAGGTGCGCATGTTGTAAGGTCTGGGCCAGGAGGCGGAGCTCAGCAGGGCTGGGCTGGCAGATGCTTGCAGGCTCAGTGGCCCCAGGGCGGAGGACGACTGGCTGCCGGAGGAGGAGGTACTGCTGTCAGAGATGGTGGAGTGTGGCCTCTTAAAGGTGGCGGTGTGCTCACAGAGGGGAACAACCATCAGTGCTCGGGTCCATGACTCTGGAAGGGGACAGAAAGGAGGTGGTTTGGCTTTTGCTCCCCAAGTGCAGCCCAGATCCGAAAACGAAGTAGCCATCTGGGAAACTGACCGGGTCCCTCCCACTGCAGTCACGTCAGGCATGATGTGGCCACCACCCGTCCAGCCTGCTCTGCTGGCTCTTGAGGCCCACGGTGAACACCAGGGCCTGAGTCTGAGTCAGTGGGACAGAGTGAGGGGTAGGGCTGAAGCCACGTTACCTGCTCCCTTCTTGACAGCCCGGTCACTTATGGCTGCCTTGCTGGGCTGGATGTCCATGAACGGTTTGTTGCCTATCCCCATTGACACCATTTCTTGCATTCTGAGTTCTAAAACAGAATAACGTAGGACAACTTTCCAAGCAACTGTTTGGCTTTAGTACCACTCCTGATGATGCTCTGTACCCAACACCGTCCATCCAGACCAGGAGCATGTCAGGGCCTGGCCCAGCACCCTCTTTGAGTGTTGCTGGGGGGCCAGAGGTGCTAGGGCTCCCGTTCCGGTACATGCATCTGCTCTGACCTCACAGTGGCCTTTCTCAGGGACCTCAAGGAGCAAACAAGGAAAAGAGGACATGGGGCTCAGGAACTGGGTGTCCAACTAGGGAGAGAAGGGAAGGGTCCCCTGTCAGCATGAAGGACAGTGAGCCACTCAACAAGCCCAGCCTGCAGGGGTCACATGGCTACAAGAAAGACAAACTGACAGATATTTACATGTCTTTGAATACTGAGCACAGGGTGAGGGTCTGAGAACGAGTAACTCCTTGGTAAAACCGAGCAAAGAAAACCAAAGATGATGGTCATAGTTGGGGGGGGGGGCAGGAACAGAGGAGACTGGGGAGGGCAATGGGGAACAGGCCAGGGGCACTTCCTGCTCCTCTTAAGGGCTGGGTCCACTCTAAGGGGACTGAAGAGCCAGCGGGTGTCTGAGCAAAGTTGCAGTGCACACATATGCACGCGTATGCACATGCACGTGTGCGTGCGTGCGCATGTGTGCGTGGGGAGGCCTACCCTCTGAAGGAAGCTGCTGTGGGGAGGCGGTACTGCATCTCTGATGACAGGTCAAGACGCTGGCCAGGGTGGCAGCTGCCAAGGGGTCAGGTGGTCGTGTTTCGACCCTTGGACATTGGAGCCCTTTGGGTTTCTCAGGCTTGGGGAGTCAGAGCTGACAGAGGGTCAGCTTGGAGGGGCCGCCATGCAGACGGCATCTGTAGCAGCCAGACTGGATGAGTGCCATCCTGTGGGTGTGAACAGGAGGTGCCCCAGTGATGAAACTGGGGGGTGGAGGGGAAGAGCAACCAAGGGGGCTGACTTCTAGGAGCAGGAAACCTAGGTGGGGTCCTGGCACATGGGGCATGGCGCCTGACAGAGGAGGGTCCTCACCTCTAGGGAGGTCACAGGCGGGCCATCAGCCCAGCGTCCAGGAGGGCAGGGAGCTTTGACAACAGGGTGATGCAGAAAGCAGTGGGCCTAAGGTGTCATGGAACATATTATGGCAACATCTCTGGGAACAGGTGTCTTGTTTACATACAAGTAAAGGAGAAGTGTGTTTGTGTGCTGATTGACGTATCCATCCATTTCCACATGGATGGAGGGGGCTCTCCAAGGGCCACCTGCCCCAAACTGGCCCCAAACACCTACCCACGTCCAAGCCACTAACCCCTGGACTCAAACCCCTGCCTGAACCCGGTCCCCAACCCCTGACCCCACCCTCCTGCCCTGAACCCAGCCCCTAACCCCTGCTGGCCCCAAACCTCTACCCCAGGCCAACCCCCTAAACATAGAGCTGGCCCTGGGTGGCCCTCTTCTGCCCACCTCTGTTCCGCAGAGCCTGCTGCCACAGGATCTGCCCTATCATGTGGGTCCAGGCCGTCTTGACCTCTGCAGAGCTGGCCTGGAGAATGTAGGTGTCCTGGGACTTCCGCCGCCTGCGGAACCAGATCTCAAACCTCAAGCCGCTGTCTCCGACGTTCTCCGTCATCCCAATCTCTGCTGTCTGCACCATAAGCAAGTGGCAGCAGAGTCAGCAACCACCGATCCTCACTTGAGCAACTGACCTCTCTCTGGCTGGCCATCTGATCCCAGCACCTCAGTGCTGGAGTTCCTTCATCCAGACACCAAATGGTGGGGAATGAACTCGGTTCCCACCCATGTGCACTGGCTCCATCTTGGAGCCTCAGTTTCCCCACTGGAGAAAGGGAGGCTGGACTGGAAGGTTCTGTGGTGCCCTGGGGATGTTGCCCTGGACGGGGCCACAGGACCGCTTCTGGTGTACCCCTCTGCATTAGCAGGTAAGGGGTTACAGGTGTGGGCTCCTCCTGGGAGCTCAGGAGCTCAGAACCTCCGTAGGGTGAGGGCCAAACTTGGAGACTGGCTCAGGGGAAGGCCACCTCCAGTGTTGGCCTTCACCAAAATCTGAGATGAAGTTACTTACCAGTTGAGGAGACTCAATTTTCCAGCCACTGAACCAGTACACAGAACTATAAAGGACAAGTGTCTCCTTGCAGCATTTGAAGCTCAGACACAGAACCCCAGGAAACAACAAGTATCACATGCCCCTGCTCGTACCCAGCAGACCAGGACCTGACTCCCCGTGGCATCAGGGGTGAGGCAGATGTGTTACCTTGAAGGACTGTTTGTACGTGTAGATGTCATAGCCCCCATCCACCTTCCTGGTCTTGCTAAACAGGATGAGGTCTTCAAAGAGGAACACGTGCCTCAAGTACTTTTTCCTTCCACAGCACACGATAAACTCGTCCTGGCATCTCAACTGCCCCTGCTCCTTCAGATCCACCTGCAGACGGAGCAAGCCTCCTCAGGGACCCTTGGACCTGCCCTCACCCCATCCTGACCCCTGGGGAGAGGAGAGGGGCTGGAGGTGGAACTGCTCGCCAATGGCCAGTGACTCACTCAATGATGCCTGCATAAGGAAGCCTCCGAAAAACCCAAAGGACAGGGCTCAAGAGCTTCTGGGGTGAACGGGTGTGGTGCCCCAGGGAGGGCATGCCCCTCTCCACATACCTGGCCCTGGGCCTCTCTTCCATCTGCTTGTTCCTGAGTATCACCCCTTACAATAAACTGGTGGTGTCGTAAGTGAACTTTCTCTGGGTTCTGGTTGTCACGACTGACGTGTGTAGTGTGTGTCGGGGGGCCGTCTGGTAGGACAGGGAGCCCTTCACCTGTGGGATCTTACCCTATGTCCAGGCGGATGGTACAGGATTGGGTTGAGTTATAGGACACCCAGCTGGTGAGAGAGAATTGCTCAGAGGTATGGGGAAAACCCACACACTGGAACTGGTGCAGAACCCTTAGGGCCAGGTAGGGCTCCTGCTCGTCTGCATGGAGGTTACAGCTCTTCAGTTTTATTTAACTTTCCACTTGAAAGTCCTTGTGTTCATTTTAATGGAAGCCCCCTTGTTAATGTGGAGCTAGTCTCACTCATTACTGTATATAAACACCCAATGGGGCCAACAGGGAGTCAAGTTATGAATTCTGCAGCTGAGCTGCTCCCTTACCCCCAGAAATCCCTCCAAGCTGCAGTCTGGGCTGAGGTCTACATGGGAGGATGTGGCCTGCATGTCCTGGCCAGGCTACAGCTCCCATTGTGGCGTGTACCCCAAACCACAGACACCACTGCTAAGTCTCTCTCATGACCTTCCAGCCCACGGACAGCCCTGTCCTGGGGGCTGCCTGAGAATGGCTGGTTCAATCCCAAATGACTTGGCTGGGCCTGCTGAATGGAGGGCTTCTGGGGGTGACCACACTTGGGGTGCCCTGAGTCCTCTACGGCTGTCCACGGAGAGCTATACTCCATGCCAGACTCCATCTCTGGTGCTGGCCACAGCCACAGGTCTGCCTTTTCTAGCTGAGGCCAAAGGTCCCACCTTCAAGCCCAGGTGGGGTCAAAGGACAGGGTGTCAGCGCATCTCCAGCCGTGCCCACACATAGGTCAGTTCACCTTGCAAGGCACCCAGGGTCGGTCGTGGGAGGACAATCCCTGTGGGGTGGTGGCCTGGGAGCCGTGCCACATCATGGCGGCCAGAAGGGCTCATGCTCAGATTGCTGCTCATGAAACTCTTAACGCTGATTTTAGCAGAGCATGCACATTTCCATTTTGTACTGGGAATTCTGTGGCTGTCCCTCCAGCTGTCAGAGACAAGGGGTTCTGCTGGAGAAAGGGCTCCTCTTCTGTCTATGCTGGTCCCGTCATGCCACCGTGTGGGGGGCATGCACGCCAGGCCTCGGCACCCCAGCAGAGAGCCAACGGTGGTCTGCCCCAAGCCTGACAGCCACGCTCAAGTTTTCATGCATCCAGTTGTTTTAAAGTAGCCCCAATAAGCAGATGGTTAGCCATTCAGAGCCTGGCGCAGTTGCCTGGACATGAAGCCCCTCTCTGCTGCCCTCACCTGCTGGCCCCTCGGGAGGTCTCAAGCTTCAGGAGACTTCCCCAAAGGAAAGCTCATGCAGTCTGACCCCAGGCCTCATCTTTCCCGAACTCAGGAGAGCCCATCAGGGCCTCGGGGCACTTACGTCACAGCCTCGGACGGCATCCATTGCCAGCAGGTCATTGCCGTGACGCAGCTGGAAGCGGACCACGTCTTCGGCAGCCCGAAGCTCACCCAGCTCCTGCTCCCAGGCGGGGCAGCTGCTGGCCTCCCTGACCAGGTCCTGCAGCAGCAGCGCATACTTGCCCATGCGCTGTACGGGCTTCAGCAAGTAGGAGGCCAAGTCCATCTTGTCGCCCAGCTCCCGCTGCTTGTCCTGCAAGGGCCGGGGTGAGAGGGTCAGCCCGGGCCAGGAGGGGGGCAGCGCGGCTCGCAGGGTGGGGGGGGGTGACCTTGAAGAAGGCGTTGCCGTGGCTGCAGAGCAGGGCGTCCGACTGGGGCTTGTTCTTGCTGTAGAGTGCATACATGCCAAACTGTTCCTCCTGCAAAAGGGGAGGGCACCGTGCACCTGAGTTGGGGGCCCAGGTCAGAGTCTCTGCCTCTGCCCCCACCCTCTCCGTGCAGTCCCCCTGCGGGCATGAGACAAGGAGGCTCCACGCTGCATTAAGACCATCTGGGCTTCCCAGCACGTGGGGGCAACTCGGGCCGATGCCAGAGTTCTGGAATTGATCTTTACAGTACACGTTTGGGGGAAGAGAAAGAGGTCCGTCTGGGAAGGGGCATGGGGAGTGTTTGCTCACTAACAGTCAAGAACCAAAGTTGTGTCAACATTTAAAATTCTCACCATTGTTGTCAATATAAAGCAACACAGAGTTCACCTTATGGCTAAAAGCACCTTCTTAGAAATAGCTGGAAAGATGCAACATGGGATTTCTTTCCTCCTTGGGCATTTCTGTTGTGGTAATCTACATTTAATGATGCTGGGGCCAATGTCTCATCTTCCCACAGCCCAGATGCCATGCGTCCCCACTGCCTGGAACACTGCTTGGGCACTACTTGGTGAAAGCATTTTCGTTTCAGACTGAAATCAGAATTCTATGAAGACCCAGACAGGGAGATGTTCATATTCACAGCTGAGAAGACACTCATCAAGGAGAGAGCAGCCCTCCTTGAGTCAATGTGCACACTCCATGAGCCTCTGTCGAGACCCTGATGGGGCTGGCTGCAGGCGGGACTGTGAAGGGGACCAGGTGGGCTGTGCAGGAAGCAAACTGATTTGGGGAGTTGCTCTGGGCCAATCACCTCGAGTGGTAAGTAGAGGGATGTGTGTGTGACCGTGCAGGTGAACCCCCAGTGTCACGTGGCTCTGGGGAGGTGGCACGGAGCCAAACGTCCAGTGTGATCCGACCCACAGGCTTCTTGTCTACTTTGGCGTCTGTTCGTTGACGGGTCTTATGTACTGTTAGGGACACGTTTCCTAGGCCTGGTCTGCGGTGACCCAAATAACCTGAGACGTGGCACCGACAGACCCAGGGCACCCTGGGCTGATGTCACCTCTGCCTGCCGCACGGGGCTCTGCCACGTGGACCCAGCACCTGGGAAGGGGGGACTCACGTGTCTCAGGAACCCGCGGCCCGCCGCCAAGGGACCACGCTGGCAGCGCTCCAGCTCTACGAGGAAATGCTGGTGGTGGAAGTCGTAGAGCTTCTCCAGGTTCCCAAAAACAATGCTGCGCTTCCCTCGAAGGTCCTGGGGCAGGTCCGTTCTTTCCATTTCTGGAAAGTAGTTGTCGATGACATACCCTAAGGACCTAACATACTCCCTCTCCGTGGAAACCATCTCGGCCATTATGTGCTGCAGTCGGCTGCTGGAAGACAGAGAGGTGGGTGGACACTCAGGCCGGTGCAGCCCATGGCCTCACTCGGGGCCTCAGGAGACCCTCGGTCAGCGTGGTTCCTGCTTCACACAGAGACAAGATGCTTTGCAAGCCCAGAGGCGTACACACGATTAGACGCGGGCAGGAGATGCACAGTAAACAAGAACTTTCTGATTAAGTGTTCTGTTCAGCAACGAATCCTGTCACGTGTGCTCCGTTACCTGAGTTGCTCCTTTGATGTAAACGAGTAAGATGAGAAATACGGGGGAGGGATGCATATTAGAAAGAAACCGGTTGCATGAAACTTCTCTATACTATTGGTCACAGCCTTTTAGGATAAAAGATGCTTCCGGAAAGTAAAAAAGAGAGACTCCCAGGACCCCTAACTTCAACCCGGAGTCCTGAGGTCTCTCATCACCAGATGGCTTGATTCTGGCGCCCTCTGCAGGGAGGGCTCTGGCAGAAGGAAGATTTCAACACTGCAAACAAGGCTGTGCTGGGGATTTACAAAGAGATGGTTTCTGATGAGCACAGACTGCTAACCTATAGAAGGTACTTCTGAAAACTTAGCTTTATGTGGCCCAGACGTCTGACCCAGAGGAGAAGCAGCTGGAGCTGAAGAGGCAGAGCAGGGCCCAGGACAGAGCAGAGATGGGCAGCAGGGGGGCAGACACCTCTTCCCTGTCAGGCAGAGGGCTCCCTGGGCTCCTGCTGGTGTGACGTCCAAGCCTGGGACGTGTCTCTGCCGCACAAGGCTCCCCCAGGGGCACCAAGCAGAGCCTGACCTGCTAGTAATGAGGCACATCACCCTTCCCGTTTGCACCACTCTGCCAGCAACGTTCCTAAATTACTCAATCCGGAGGATACTAATGGGGGCTCGTAGACTTTTTTCTGCCATTACTTGTATTTACTTGTTTGTTTGTTTGTTTGTTTTTTAAAACTGGAACACAATTAAAAGCAAGCAATGGTAGGAAATACACCTGTGGTCAGAAAGGCTGCTGAATGCATCCCAATTGCAGCTGGAGACCTTGTTCCTTTCCATACTCACGTAACGGACTTTACAAATACCTATGGTTTCTGTGGAGGCAGCACCTTCTGGCTAGTCGGGAGCCTGCAGCCCTCGTGGCTGGTACAGGTGGCCTGGAGGTCCCTCCAATAAATCCAAGGCCCCAGGACCCACAGCACCCCTCCTGTCAACATTTGCTGAAAACAGGCATCCTTAAATATTCAAAAACAAAACTACTGTGGTCTGGGGATTTGGAAATTGACACATGAGGACATAATGGCTAGAAATGTCTGGGGAAATGACTGCTGGCCAAGTGACAGGGACTCCCTCTGGACAACAGGCAGAAGGCCTGGGTTTTCATGGAAGACCGGGTTAGTCTGATGCTCTCTCCTCTGGGCCCTGGCCTGAGGAGGATGTGCTCCCTCTCTGATGTGCTGTGGAGTCCTGCTACCACACCCTGGGTTGGTGGGTCCACGGCCTGTGAAAGGTGGAAGGGGGGACTTGTCTCCAGGGGCAAAGGCAGGACGGCTTCCCGAACCTTCTCCCTCCAGACCGAGGATGCCCACTGCAGAGGACTGGGGGCTCCTGGCAAGCAGAGGGCCCCCATCCCTGCAGTCTGTGCCTCTGAAACTTTCAAGATGAGCTCAGGGGAGTGGGAGAGTGGTTCTTCCTGGAGCCTTCCCAGGGATTCCAACTCCCGGGGAGACCCACACAGGTGCTCCCAAATGAAACCTTCCTGTTCCACCTAAAGTTTCGCCCTGAACAAGCTACACCGTAACCGCCTAGAACCTGAAACATAAAGGTGTGTTTCAGGAGAGTATTTGGTGACCATCTCAGTTCAGAGATGGTCTCTGTATGAGGAGGAAATGTGTCCACCAACCAAATGAGCAAAGAAAACGAGGATGACGCCCCACCTGCAGCCCACCCCAGTCACTATAAAGATGGACTAACAGCCCAAGGGGCAGGCTGTGATACCAGGTGAGTGGACTACCTGTCATTAGGGTTGGGCACAGTTCCTGCCCACTTTTTAATCCTAACGGTTAATAAAATATATCTTTTTACACATATCTTCTTAAGGATTAAACAAATTCATAGGGACATCTCCATTCAGGCAATGGATAAACACACATACTTCTCACCTCAGTGCTGAGAGCCTTTTTTTAAAAGTAATTTTTAAGTAACTTCTTCATATTCCAGGTGTGATTTGCTTATTGTGATTTTCCATAAATGGGCCTCAAATGATGAGAGCTAGTTGTTCAACCATCAGAGCGAGTGAGCTAGGTGCCCACAAGCCACGAGAAAGGAAGCAGTTTTCAATGATCATGCTGAACACGGGGAGGAGAGTAACATCTTGTCTAAGATCAAATGCAAGTGTGTTGCCTGGACAGGACATGGTGGACCTGGAGGGGTGTTTGTGGATGTCCCACTCTGTGAAAGGCTTTGGGCCTCTGGCACCACACCGACTGCTAAGCCCAAAGGCTGGAGGGGGTGTCCACCTCACCTTCCTGCTTGCCTCCTCCTGTCCTCCTCAGAGGGGTGGGTCCTGGAGGGAGAGGACAGACTCCGGTTCCGAGTGACCAGGGCGCTCTCAGCATGTGGCTGTGGTGGGGGCTGCTTCTCGGAGGCCACGGTGCTGGTCACCTCTAGGCCCCTGATGAAGACCCCGGTGTGGCCTGGCCAGGGGGCATCCCTGGGGCCACTGTCAAGCCGTGCAATCTCAAAGCTTCGTGTTTTCCTCATAATTTTCTTCAGGGGATGTTTCCTGGGGTGGGTGGTAGGTGTCTGGATGGGCGTGGAGGAGCAGGTGGGGCTGTCATGCGGGGAAGGCACAGCCGGGGCCAGGTGCTCACCCTCCTGCCTGCTCAGAGAGGCTTGTCCAGGGAGGCCAGGCAGCAGTTGGGCCCGCTCCCCAGTGCAGCCCTCTGGGTCAGTGGGGGGGGTCCAGGATGGCTCCTGGTGCCTCCTCTTGGCCGACTGAGCAAGCTCATGCTTCAGGGCTCTCTGGTCCAGAGGTGGGGTGCCAGGGTCTGGGCTAACCCCAGACAGGGCCTCTTGGAAGCAGAGGCGGGTCTGCGGGCTCTGCAGCCCTAAGGTGTGCCTCTGATGCGGTGGCCGCTGGCTGCCCAGGCCTGCCGCCACCACGCTGGCCCCCGGGAATCCCTGCGCAGTCAGCTCTGTGGCCTTCCGGTGACAGGTCTCCAGATACTCAGTGACTGGCTCCGGGCCCAGGTACTCCAGGCACTCACCGCACTGCTGCATCCATCCATCCACCTGCGTGGCAAAGGAGGGCACTGGTCAGGGCAGTGGAGGACTGTCTCGGCCACCATGGCCTTGGCAGCCCCACCCGATCTCATGCACTTGATGAGCAGCTCAAGTAAACCTGCTCTGCGGGTACCCCAGATCAAGGACCAGGGTGAGCCAGGTGGCCAGAGCAAGAGGAAGACCCCTCCACCCACAGAGGCAGCTACCAGCCAGACTCGCCCCAAGGGCAGGCAAGATGAGTTTGCACCTGAGCCCGATGAGGTCTGAATCCTCCACGGCCCCCAAGAACAGCAGGTGGGGTTGTCCCAGGGCCATGGGATGCCAGGCTGGACAGACCATGAAATCAGGTAGTCCACACTTTGGCCTGGGGTGGGAGGCCATGACAGTGGGGCAGAAAGTTCATACCCCTACGCTGGCCTTCCCTGAACCCCTGGATCCCGTCAAGAGGAGCCGTGCTGCTGGGGGCTCTGGGGTGCTGGTGCGTTTGCAGGCCTGGGCTGGGCTGCAGCGACTGTCCTGGGGTCTCTGGCAACAAGTGGACTTTAACAGCAGAGCTGGTAAACACAGAAAAGTTCACGTATAAATTCCTCATACGGTGGCTGAGAGCCTGGGGCGCGGTGCCGGGGTGTGCTGGCCAGGGAGGCTGGGCTCACTCAGGCCTGCAGGGACAGCGCTCACTGAATGTCCATAGCACATGCAGATCCCCTGGAGGCGATTCCACTGGGTCTCTTAGCGCCTCGTAGAAGTCAGACAGGTGGGCCCATCAGGCCAGCGCTCCCTCCCTGCACTCAGCCTGGCTGGCCATGGTGCTCAGACACCTTTTGAAGGCCCAGATCGCTTCCTCTGTGCCTTGGGAGCTGTTCTCCACCAGCTGCAGCCTTTTCTAACAAGACTGCTGTAGCCCAAGGAACAAAGCACCAGCACAAGCCCGGTGCTTACTCTCCTTTTCTGTGTGTGTCTTCTGGTGTGGACACACCATCAGCCTGTCGTGGAAGGTCTAGAGCCCCCACCGCTGCGACATGTTCTCGAGACAGAGCAGCTCCAAGAGGCCAGGGATTTCTCTCCTCTTTCAAACCACAAATTGATCTATGTAGGAAAGGAAGGCTTTATTTTTAAATGTGTGAAGGAGTCCGGTTCTATGATCGTGGGGGACAAAGGAAGCATCAGACACCACTTAGGGGCTGGCTCAACTGGTTCCCACAGCCTGCACAGCTGTCCTGATGCAAACAAACTGCGTGCTCAAATGTACTGTAAGTGGCTACACAGCAATGAAAGCCCCACGGGCTGTTTTTACCTACGTGCCCCTCTCAGTCTGTGGATGGTTGAAGAGGGATGACCACAAGTCTCCACGGCCCAAGTGTGCAACTGGGCAGGCTGTTCGCAGGAAATGGAAATTAAGAACTTTCTGTTTTGGGTGCCTGGGTGGCTCAGTTGGTTAAGCGACTGCCCTCGGCTCAGGTCATGATCCTGGAGTCCCGGGATCGAGTCCCGCATCGGGCTCCCTGCTCAGCGGGGGGTCTGCTTCTCCCTCTGACCCTCCCCCTTCTCATGCTCTCTCTATCTCATTCTCTCTCTCAAATAAATAAATAAAATCTTTAAAAAAAAAAAAAAAAGAACTTTCTGTTTTGAAACTTGTTACTATGCTAAATATACCCCAGAAATATTCTTCGGGTGGTGGCACTAGGGTACTTGGGGGCAGTCTGGAAGAGCTGGAGGGGCTGATGGCGGCCCTGCCTGCCCCACACGGCTTCCCGTGGGGACATCACTCATTCACAGTGAACATGTCAGGGGTTAAGACTTCATTTTCATGCAAGTGCTCGTTGGATAGCAATGCCAGGGAGGCCTGGTTGTGAGGGGCCCAAGAAGAGGTTTTTAACAATGCAGTGATATCAGCGCTGGATCTACAGCCACAGAACCGTACTTAGTGACCCCCACACACAGGCAGAAGACAGAGAGCAGCGCACACACTCTGTGGACAGAGTCATAGAGAAAAATGTCAAATCTGGGTTTTTACAAACACCAGCAGCCTGAGAGCCTCTGGGTAGAAGACTAGGAAACAGTCAACAGAGTGGGGACCTCTCAGGGGTGGAGTCCCACCTCTAACCTCATGAAAAAAGCTCCAGTTGGTTTCAAGATGTAAATGGAAAAAATCAAACCATAAAGGTCTTAGGATAGAATACAGTAGTCATTCTGTGACCTTAAGATAGAAAAGGTCATTTCAATCATAAGCAAAGTTGAAGGACAATGACAAACCAAGGAAAATATCTGCCACATAACCAGACGGTCAGTGTGAGCAACATGCATAATAGTGAAACTTCTGAGCTGTGGAAGTTGGTCAGTGTGTGGAAAAGCCATTTGTTAGAGAATAAATACAAAAAACCCACAGACAAACGAAGAAAAAGTTCAACTGTAGCATTAAAAACTCCAAATGCAGTGATTTTCATGTCAGTGAGGAAGGGACGCTCTCAAGGCTGCTGCTGAGAATCTCAACTGGGCAGGCTGCTTGCAGGCCCATTTGGCAAATGGGTAAAAACCTCAGAACCGGCGAGCCCTAACCCAGCCATCCCAAGCCTAGGAACCTGTCCAAAGCAAACAATCACAAAGTGTGAAAGATGCAGGTGCAGTGATGTGTACGAGGGTGAGAAACAGGAGAGCCGGGGACTTGAGCCAGAACCGGAGGAACACAGGGAGGTGCAGGCCTCCACACACCACCGTGCTTGCTGGCCATCCTGGGGACCCAGCCTCGGGATGCCCTGCAGTGGCCATCCCCCCACCCTGCCTGCCCCAAGGGACACACAGTCCTGCAGAGAAGGCCTCCACACACTTCCGACCTTGCCCTACACTGACCGCGGCCTGTGCCTGGGCTCCTGCTTCCCAGTCACTTACATGGGAATAGCGGTTGATAAAAGCATAATGATTTAACTAGAAATATGTGCAAGCTTTTGAAAAGCTTTTATATGCATATGTATATGGAAAAAAGTCTGGATTATAATATACTGCAATAATAGTAGTTACTTCAGGAGCAGAGTTTCAAAATGTTTTTCTCCTTTGGCTTCTCTGGAATACTTACCTGGCCTTGTCCCTCCTGGAGCGTCCTCCCTTCCCGTAGCCTCTCCAGCTCCTGCAGACACCTGTTGGAGGCGAGGACAAGCCGATGGACCTCTTCGTCCACTTGGTTGTACAGCCTGGAGGCGACCTCAATGGCATCCCTGGAAGAGAAAGTGTCAGAAAGCCCAATCCTGACCTCTAGTTGCTTAGGGGCAATCACCCGAGGAATATGCTGTCAGTGACAACCTCGTGAAAAAAGCACAACTGCACTCTTTGCCTCCCTTCCATCTGACACGAACGGAAGGCTCCAAGGAGGACAAGCCTGGAGGTGCAGGCACCCCAGAGGTGGTAGGAAAAGTGAGCGTGTGGGCATGGCAGCCCAGGACAGAATTAGACAGAGATGCATTCGGTCGGGACCTCTGCTGAATCCCATTATGATGAGTTTTGCCTTCCACTTGAGCATTCCAAGGAATCTGCTACTTTTTTTTGGAAGATACAGATGTAGATAGGCTCCAGTCCAAAGTGTGCCCATCAGAAAGAACAGAGGTTTGGACCCCTGGGAGATGCTGCATGTGACAGAAATGGACATCACCCCTGGGATGGGCAGCCCCAGCATGACACTCACCGGCAGTCTTGGCTGGTGCCAAGCTGCTCCCTCCTCAGCTGCGCCAGCACGGTACCACCCTCTAGCCGGAGGGCGACCAGCAGTGCGTCTTCCAGCACACAATTCATCGTTGCTTTATGCTTGCTGATTAAGTCTGTGACCTCCTGTGTGGAGTGGGAGAAGCATGCATAGAACCCTCCCCTCCATGGGGAGTGTTAGGTGTGAACTACACTCCTGTGTTTATCAATCAAGCTGAGAGAAGGGCGCCATGGCCGAACCCACACTTGACACTTGATGCAGCAGGGAGGTAGTGGGGTCCTAGATGCTCTCACCCAAGAGATGGGTGAGATTAAGGAGAGGAGAAAGGAGGGAAGTTTGAAAGTTGGCAGCAGGAGGAAAGCCTGGCATTTGGACAGGGATATGTGGACCTTGCCTGCATACCCCATAAACCCTGAGGTGTCTCCAGCCCCAGGTCTCTAGGCTGCTGATTTTCCTCCAGCCAGTCCACCTCTGTGTCCCAGCAGTAATTACTCAGGCCTCAGTGGCACACCAGCAAATGTAGTGATTGTGGTGGTATTTCTCTTCTGGGCATGGTGGGATTTTTTTTTTTTTGGTCATGGGGAAGAAGTGATCTTTTGGAAGTCCTTTGCTAATTTAAAGGAATTTACAAGTCAAAAAGGGTTTGAAAATTTCTGCTATGGATGATAGATTTGGCTAAACCTCTATGTTCCCACCTACCTACCTGTGAAACAAAATAAAATACAAGAGAACCTACCTGTACCGTGCTTAGAGTCCTGTGGGTATTCAGGGAGTGGAGTGAATTTTGTAGGAAAACAATGGCATTCTCGCAATTTGTGGTGAAGGGCTCCAGCTTCTATCACGGTGGGAAAGGTAGGAGATGACAGATACACTGTTAGTATCCACAGAAGCACCGGGGAGCAGCACCCTCCCTGCCCAGAGCTGGACTTCAGCAGCACTCCCAAGCCCGCCACAGTGTGGCTCTCCAACAGCCCGGGAATGGCAGCTGTGATGGGCACGACATTCGGGGCAGGGACACCTGTTTCAGGTGTGAGTAAAAACATCTGCATGAGGAGAAGTCCCAGGAGACTGGCAGGTGCAGTGGCTTTACCTTACCCTACGGAAGCAGATCCAGTCACTGTGGCTGTAAGGAAAGGAGCCATCGAGGTCTGTGGTCAGCTGCGAGCTGTCAACAAGCTTGTGCAAGGCCTTCAGGGAGCCGACCACCTCACACTGCCAAGGAGAAGCATTCACTGGTTACGGCCACAGATGCACCCATCAGGAAGACCACTGTGATGGCTCACTCCAGGGAGAACCACCACCGAGAGGGTGGAGAGAGAGGTTTAATCCAGGGACCCTGCCTTGCTGGTGGCATTAGTGGGCTGAAAGTGGTTGGGTACAGAAATGAAGTTGGGGAGAAGTGAAAGGAAAAGGTAGCAAAGAGAAATTACAGAAAGTTTCCAAATAAGACCAAAAAATGGAAAAACTGAAAAGGGAGAGAAGGCAAGAAGATAGGGGAGGAAGGGAAGAAGAATAAATCAAGGATGTGCTACTCTGAGATGGCAGAGTTGGCCCTGCCCAGACAATTTGGGACGAGGTAGAACAACAGGCACCTGAAAGCTCCAGAGGGCAAACAAGGTCAGGCTCACTGAGGAGGGCCACTGGAACATGGATGAGGGGAGCAGCATGGGGTCAACTCCCCCCTCTGCTTGGCTCTGGCCTGAAGGCAGGATGCCAACACGGGAGACTGGATTGACTGAGGCTCTGGTAGAAAACAGGCATCTTTCTGGCCTGAAGAACCAGAAAATAGAGCTGGGTTGGAATGTAGACATCGAGTCCCACAAGGGAGAAAGCCAGGGGAAAGGAGCTTCAGTGGTGTGTAAACTGTGCCCAGGACTCTGGCTGACCCTGAACCATGTATGCATGGGGAAGACTCTGGATAGCTAAAGGCAAAAAGAACTGAACTGGATGTACATAGGGGAGAGTTTTCAGTTTGAGTCCAACCAAGTTAAATGCATTTCAAAACAGTCCACTGTGGAGGTTTATAATAGAATCCAGAGTCAGCACGGTCAACGTTATTCAACAGAATATTCACATGTCCAGAATACAATCCCAAATTACTTGACACATGAAGAATCAGGAAAATGTGACTCATTCTCAAGGGAAATGACAGTCAACAGAGGTCAACCCAGAAAATACCTGGATGTTGTAAATATTAGACAAGGACTTTAAAGCAGTGGTCATAACTATGTTCAATGATGTAAAGGAAAAATGCTTGCAATTATTTAGAGAATAGGAGATCTTAACAGAGTCAAAGAAAATATATGTTGAAAACCACTGGGTGTTTTATATTTGAAAAATATAACATCTGAAGTAAAAAATATCACTAGATAGGCTTAATAGCTGAATGGAGATGAATAGAGTATGGAGTTAGTAACTTTGAAGATAGAGCAATAGAAACAATCTGATCTGAAGAAGAGAGAGAAAATAAGTGGGAGAAAAATGATTCTCCAAGACCAATGGGGCAAGATCATTTGGGGAGGAGTTAAGATGACGAAGTAGTGAGACGACCTTATGCTTGCCTCATCCCTCGAACACAGCTAGGTAATTATCAAATAATTTTGAATACCCAGGATATGAATCTGAGGACTGAGAGAACAAACTGCACAACTAGCTGGAGGCCACATTGTGAAAGGTAGGAGGTGCAGAGACACGTGATTTGGGGGAGAAAAGAAATGTGAGCACTGCAGAGGAGGCAGAACTCTGATCATGGAGAGAGGAGAGAAAGAAAGAGATAAAGCAGCACACAGGGAACTGCACAAGAAAAACACTTCCCCAAAACCACTGACCGGGAAAATGAGAGGGGCTGATTATTGTGAGTTTTCATACGCAGTGGAACTGAAAGTCTGAAACTTCAGGAGTCTGCACCATTGCCAGGGTCGGGCCTGGTGGACAAAGTGGTGCTCCTGTGGAGAAGGGGGGCAGAGGCCCAGGACCACAGAGCACGATCCCCTGGGTCGCACTGGGAGAGACAGTCCCCCTTCTTGGGGTGCATTTGGGAGAGGCAGCACTGCCTCTCTAGGGACAAAAGAGCCTGGGCGCCATGGAGCTGCCCCATTCATTAGCGTAGGGCAGAAATGTCTGCTGAGGGCAGCTAACCTGGATGCCAGCTCTTTGCTACACTTGACCACAAAATCCAAGCTCCTGTGCAGTTGTGCAGCTGCTTTTCTGGGACAAAAGGCACCAGCCACAGTGGGGCGTGACCCTCCCCCAGAGTACCCACTTGGTTCTGCACCGGGCCAGGTGCCTAAAATTTGGGATTTTGAAACCCAGCCGCAAGCCCGAGATAAAACACGGGAGCACCGCGCTGCTGAGTGGGCACACAGCTCTGACACAGACAGGGTGAAGGCTGGAATCTGGTGGGAGCGTGGGACACAAGATGGGAGATTGTTTGCTCTTCTGTGAGGGTGTCCTGAACAGCAGGGGGTAGAAACTCCGCTCTCTGGAGAAGAGAGAGGGCTGACACTATTTTTCACCCCTCCCAGCAGCATGGACAGACTCAGCAAGCAGCACAGTGCACACAGTGGAGGCTTGAGCCGCTTACACCAAGCTCTGCTCCTTGGTGCTCTGCCTTTTTAACCCTGTGCAGGTGCCTTTTTAACTACAGCAAGTATAATTGAGAGCCAGAGTAGCAGCGGGCCTCTCCCCTAGAAGACTAGTACAGATCCCTTGCATGCCCCAGGTCTTCTGATCAAAGTGCTGCAAAGCTTCAGCTCTAACGGAAACAGGACTAGGCACAGGCTTTCCTAAGTCACAAAGGACAGAGGCCTAGACAAAATGCGAGATGGAGGAATTCATCCCAAAAGGAAGAATGAGAAGAGGTCACTGCTAGGGAACTAATCAAAATAGATACAAGTACTACGCCTGAACCAGAATTTAAAATGTCCATACTACCCAAAGCAATCTACACATTTAATGCAATCCCTATAAAAATACCACCAGCATTCTTCATAGAAGTGGAACAACCGTAAAATTTGTATGGAACCACAAAAGACCCCGAAGAGCCAAAGCAACCTTGAAAAAGAGAAGCAAAGCTAGAGGCATCATAATTCTGACCTTCAAGTTATATTACAAAGCCGTAGTAATCAAAACAGTATGGTACTGGCACAAAAATGGACACATGGGATCAATGGAACAGAACAGAAAACCCAGAAATGGACCCACAACTATAAGGTCAACTAATCTTCCAGAAAGCAGGAAAGAATATCTATTGGATAAAAGTCTCTTCAACGAATGGTGTTGGGAAAACTGGACAACAACACGCAAAAGAATGAAACTAGACCACTTCTTACACCATACACAAAAGTAAACTCAAAATGGATAAAAGACCTAAATGTGAGACCTGAAACCATAAAAATCCTAGACGAGAGCACAGGCAGTAACCTCTCTGACATCTGCCGTAACAACCTGTTCTAGATATGTCTCCTGAAATAAGGGAAATAAAACCAAAAATAAATTTTTGGGACTTTATCAAAATAAAAAGCTTCTGCACAGTAAAGGAAACAACCAACAAAACTAAAAGGCAACTCACGGAGTAGGAAAAGATATTTGCAAATGACATCTCTGATTAAAGGGTTAGTATCCAAAATAAATAAAGAACTTAAAAAACTCAACACCCCAAAAAACAAATAATCCAGTTGAAAAACGGGCAGAAGTTACAAACAGACCTTTTTTCAAAGAAGATATCCAGATGGCTAACAGACATAGGAAAAGATGCTCAACATTACCTATCATCAGGGAAATACAAATGAAAACCACAGTGAGGTATCACCTCACACCTGTCAGAACGGCTAAAATCAACAACACAAGAAACAACAGGTGTTGGCAAGGATGTGGAGAAAGGGGAACCCTCGTGCACTGTTGGTGGGAGGGCAGCCACTCTGGAGAACAGTATGGAGGTTCTTCAAATGGTTAAAAATACAACTACCCTATCACCCAGCAATTGCACTACTGGGTATTTACCCAAAGGATACAAAAATACTAATTCAAAGGGATATATGCAACCTGATGTTTATAGCAGCATTATCAGTAATAGCCAAACTATGGAAAGAGGCCAAACATCCACCAACTGATGAATGGATAAAGAAGATGTGGTACATATATACAATGGAATATTACTCAGCCATCAAAAAATATGAAATCCTGCCATTTGCAATGATGTGAATAGAGCTAGAGAGTTTATGCTAAGCAAAATAAATCAGTCAGAGAAAGACAAATATCACATGATTTCACTCACATGTGGAACTTAAGAAACAAAACAGATGAACATAGGGGAAGTGGGAAAAACAGAGAGAGGGAGCCAAACCATAAGAGACTCTTAACAACAGAGAACACATGGAGGGTTGATGGAGGGAGGTGGGTGGTGGATGGGCCAGATGGGGGATGGGTATTAAGAATGACACTTGTTATGATGAGCACTGGGTGTTGTATATAAGTGATGAATCACCGAATTCTACTCCTAAAACCAATATTGCACTGTATGTTAACTAACAAAATTTAAATAAAAATTTGGAAAAAATAAAATTAGATTGTGGGACAGTTGCACAATTCCATGCATATACTAAAAATCACTGATGCGGTTTGATAAATGATTTGTATGGGACATCAATTATATCTCAGTAAAATTGTTTTTGAAAAGAAAGAAAGAGAAAGAAAACTTCTAGACTATCACTTCCTGAAATTTCAAAAAGTAAAAGTGCAATAAAGAGTGAAAAACAAAAAAAGACCTATGGGGCAATATCAGTGTGTGTAATTGAAATCCTAGAATGAGGGACGAGAATGAGGCAGAAAAAAACACTTCAAGAAATAATGAATGAAAATTTCCTGAATTTAGTGATAGACATAATTTTAAAAATTCAAGTTCAGCCCAACCTGAAAGGATAAAGATGAAGAGAACCATGCCTAGTCACATTATAGTCAATTTGCTGAAAAGAAAGAGAAAATTTTGGAAGTAACCAAAGGAAAATGACACATTTTCTATAGGTGAACAATTACTTGAATTACAACAAACTTTTCATCAGAAACTATGGAGGTAGAACCACCATTTTGCAGTTAAAAAAAGGGGGGGGGAAGAAATTATGGAGGCCAGAAGACAACAGAATGACACCTTTAAAGTGCTGGAGAAACAAACAAAAACCTACTGTAAGCCAGAATTCTATATCTAGCAAAAAATCCTTCAAGAATGAAGGCAAAATAAAGAATTTTTAGATAAAAGAGAAAGAAGCAAGAAGAGGATTTGAGAAAGCAAATGAGGTGGAGAAGAAAAATTAGATTTTTAAAAGTTTTCTGATATTACCCTCTTTAGGGTCCTGCAAAAACTTAAGGGATCGGTGATGGGTTTTCAGGCTCTTATATGGATGCAGCCAGAATTCACATAAAGTTTTCGCTATGTTTTATCTCATCTACGTGTCCTAACATTTAATTTTACGCATCACCCAGAGTCATATCTAACCCTGAGGGTCTACAACAATTACCTGAATTGTTCTATCCTTGTCAGGCCTAAATCCTGATTCTTTATTCACCAACAACACAATACTATGAATTATGGGAGGAGATGTGTTCTGAAATAAGAAAGAAATACCAATTAGCTTTGTAATTTTTAACTTCACTGACTCAATAGAATTGTCTAACTTTGAGGGGTGCTACTTCTGCTTTGATATTGTTCCCAAGCACCTAGAATGCATAAAATGTAACGGTCTTTGCTCTAAATGGACATTATTTCACCTTATAAATTTTAATGTAATCAAGTTTCTTGGTTATAATTTACATATATTAAAATTCACCCTTTTAAATATGGAGTTCTCTAAATTTTGACAGAACTTATAGTCATGGAACCACCATCACAGTCAAGATATATACAACAGTTCAGCATCCCCCAATTTCCTCATGCTCCTTTGCCAAGCCCACCAGCCTCTGGCAACTACTGATCTGTTTTCTCTGTGCATAAATTTGCCTTTTTCGGATATCATACGCATGGACTTACCCAGTACTGGCTTCTTTCACTGAGCACAGTGCATTCATGATTTACCCATGCTGTGAGGGTTCCTAGATCATCCCTTTCTATTGCTGAGGAGAAGCATGCAGGCACTGCAACTCATTCACCCACTCACCAGCTAGAGGACATCTGGGTTGTTTCCAGTTTGTGGCAACCATCAACAAAGCCACTATAAACTCTATGCAGACGTAAGTTTTCATTTCTCTTGGGTAAATATCTAGCAGTAGGATTGCTGGGTCACACGGTAAGTGCATTCTAACGTCTGAAGAAACTGGAGTGGTTGTGCCATTTTGCATTCCCATGAGCAATACCAAGTCCTTGCTATCGTCAAGTTTTGTTGTGTTATCTCATTTTGGTTACAAGTTGTATTTCTCCAATGACTACTGATGTTGAACATATGTTTATGTGCTTCTCTGCCATTCATATATCTTTTTTTGGTCAAGTGTGTTCAAATCTTTGCTGGTATTTCATTGGGTTGTTTGTCTTATTGCTGAGTTTTGGGATTTTGTATATTCCAGATACAGGTCCTTTGTCAGATCTGTGTTTTGCACCACATTTTCTCGCAACTCCTGGCTTGTTTTTTCATTTTAGTGACAGTGGCTTTTGAGGGAAAGTTTTCAATTTTGATGAAGTCCACCTTGTCATGGTTTTCTTTTATAGATCATGGTGTTGGTGTCATAGCTAAGGAATCTTTGTCTGACCAAGGTCATGAAGATTTTCTCCTGTTTCTTCTGGTGGTTTTGCAGTCTTAGTTTGTGCATGCAGGTCTGGGACCCACTTGTAATTTTTGTCTATAGTATGAGGTATGTGTGCCCTGTTGGGGTTCCAACCCTGTTGGTTTTGGGGTTTTTTTTGACATGTTTTATGACTTTAAACAAGCCTCCTTGATTTCTGTTTGCTAGAGTACATTGAGGCCAGATCATTCAGCAATGAAATTATTTTATTTACCTAGTGCTTGCTTCTTCACTCATATTTTCTAAAGCTTTACTTTTTAAGTTTCTTGTAGTGATAAACAGATTTTAGGCTTTTTGTAATCCCCAATGTTGATCCCCTATTTTGACTGGATAGGCCTCAGAAATAACTGGTACTTTATTTGTATTAATTGTATATATTTACATTTTTGTTATGTGGCTTCTTGTGGATGACCTTCCATAAATATTCATTTCATGAATAAGCCATAGAAAAACACATAGAAAAAATATTCTTGCTTTTTTATTTGAGTCATTTTCTATTTCTCTCACCCAGTTTAGGTAAAATTTTCAGTTATCATGAATTAAAACTACACAGTTTTGCAATGTTTTATATTTCTCATATATTCCTACTTGAGTGGTTTTTTTACTATTAGGATTTGTTGCTATTGCTAAGAAGATGGATGTTAATTTTCAGACGAGTGAGAACACAGTTGGCACCTTAGGATGAATTGTCCACATCAGTGTGTAGAAGTTATGTGCTGTGGGTGGGGTAGGGATGAGTAATTCTTAGCATTTTCTTCCACCAAGAAATGAAAAAATAATTTCCTTTTTGAAATGGAAAGCTTCTTATCTGTACTTTAATAATTTAATAAATCTGAAGTATAGTCACTTGAGATAGTTACGAGAGTTCTACTTTTTGCCCTCTATGAAAAAATTTAACTACTTCTGCATATTCCTCAGAAATAAAACTGAAAATGGAAACATGACCCTTAAATTCAGCTTATTTCCACTCCTCTCACTGGGATTACAGATCCTGCTGTTGCCTGAGCCAAAGCCAGGGTGGTGGGAGGCCACCACCTGAAGGAGAAGCAGTGAGGCCTCATGGCAGTCTGAACGCCAACATCCAGATGACGGAACAGAGTGGATTTCCTGAAGTTCCTTCGAAGATTCACTTGTGATAAAAACTTAAAGATGCAGCAGGTGTTTCTCCTGCTTCTGCTCTGGGAGAAGTGTGTGTAGAGAGGGACCATCTTACTCAGGGCTCATTCTACCGCTGCGGGACCCAAGTGGCACAGGACTTAAGGGAAGCCTGAACAAACAGAAGTGCTGGGAAGGGGTGTTCTTACAAAGAAAAAAGGTACGTGGTTCTGGTCGACAGCTGAGGGGCTCTTGGGCCATATGTGGGGCCTGCCTGGGTCTCACACACAGTGGCCCGAGTGGTTGCTAAGCGTGTGCATCAACAAGGAGGGCTCAGTCATCTCTCTTTGAGGCCGGACACTTAATTTTCAAGTTTTTACTGGATGCCAAAGAAGCAGAAGCCACCACAGTCCTCTGGCTTCAGGAAATTCCTGCAAAGCACGCACACATGCATCAGTGTCCTCCGGGTTGTATGAGCAAACAGGGTTATGGCAACATGCACACAGCACAGCACAGTGAGGGAGCCCACGGGCAGCTGCATGCTCCGTCTTCTTCCTGGTGCCCAAGTAACCTCCCACAAGGCCAGTGCCACCACGCTGGGCGTGTGTCAGGGAGTGGAGGTGGTGATACCCGTCCATGCCAGCCCCACTCTGGGCACCGGGCCTCACCGTGTGCCTGCCTGGGTGTCTGCCGACGTTCCTGCCCTGCAGTCTGCACCTCGCTACTCAGTCTGGGTCCCAGAGTGACAATATGCTCTCAGAGTTCCTCGAGCCCCTTACTGGGAAAGGTCCCCAGCGAGCCTCCATGGGGCTCACAGGGCTCTGGCCACCTGCTGGCCTGGGAGGGTGTCGTCCTGGGTTCTGCAGCAAGTCACTGGGTTCCCTGCTTCCCCTGAAAACAAATTTCAAGCCCTCCTCATTCCAAAACTTCTCCAGGACAGCAATGACAAAAGTGATTGGCATGAACACCATTTGCCAGGGGGGCAAAGGGTCTGAGGAGGCGGGAGCCCAGGGAGCCTGCAGATGGGGGTTGAGAAGCAGGACCGCTCCCCCAGAGGCCACCCCCAGGGCTGAAGGTGGAAGAAACTGGGAGGAGAGCAGAGCAGCAGGGAGGCCGAGGAGGAGGGATGCTCCTGCACACATGCTCTGTGGTGCGCAGCGCGGGCCCTGCGCTCTGGAGCATCTGGAGGTGCGGATGGAGCGGGCTGGCCGACTGGGCCACACACCCTCCTCGTGACGGTAAGCTGTTCCCAACGGGTACATGAAGCAGGCAGAATGGTTTCTAGGAATCTGGTCACAAGTTCTGGTTGCAGCTTCAAAATCATTTCAGCAACAGCAACAGCATTTGGTTTTGAAGGCAGAAATAAAGAAAAATTGTTTTTCTCCCATGTTTTCACAAGTTGCTATTTATAGGGTGCTGAGATGACTGGTGTGAGGTGACCACATTAAACAGTTGCTCCTGAGGAATGTGCGTCTGAAACACAAACAAACCTCATCCTCCTGTCCACTGTGGATACTGGGACCAGGCCTCCACATTTAACACCTTCCTCCTGTGAATTCACAGGACGCTGAGGAAATCCTGAGGTCACCGATGCCGCTGTCCTCCTTTGAGCAGAGCTTCCTTCAAAATCTGTTTGAAAAGCAGTCATCCCCCTACTTTCCCAGAAGGCTTGCAGTAACTTCCCAGTCTTTGCTGGTCTATAAAATTGCACGTGGTTAGGAAAAACCAGATTCGCAAAGGAATTTCGAAGCCCACACAGAATATGAGCATCAAACTGGATGACATCCTGGTTGCTGATTGTTGAGCCCAACAGCTGGTTGAGAGCAGGGAAATGAGCAATAAGGGATTCATGTGCCTCCGAGGTGGTTCGTGGAAACGGAGTTTTGGCACGTCAAACCTGTCAGTCCGTGTCAGAGGCGCTAACTCGGGCTTTGAAGGTATGTACCGTGAATGCTTCTGCTGAAAGCCCATTGCTCCCTCTGAAATGCAGACTTCACCACTGAGTTCGGCTCTGAGAGCCCACTCTTGCCAGGACGGCACATCTGGGTCGGCCCTTCCCCTCGGGAATCTGCACCTTCACCTCTGTGTCGGACAGGATCTGCACCCCCGCCAGGCACCCTGACCAGGGACGCCTACTCCTGCTGACCTGGCCCACTTCTGCCTGGCCTCCCCCAGCCCCGGCCCCACTCACAGCCTGCCTGCTGGGGGCTCTTCTCTCCTTTCCCCACACACTGTTCTCCAGCTTCTTGAGTGCATCCAGATGTGCCCCAACCTCCACCACTGAGTCCTTCCTTGAAAGAACTTGCATTTGGCGTCCCTAAACTTAGGATCCGGGATAGAACGGTGACCGGTGTCTGGCACCTTTAGCAGAGACCAAACAGAGGGAACAGGTTTTCACTGAGGGAGAAGGTGGGACCCCAGACTCCAGCACAGCACTTGACACATGAGGGGCCCCATATACACCCGTCTGAGGGAACGTGAATGTTCTCAGGCTCCCACCTGGCCCTGGGTCCCTGGAGCATCCCAATGGTGACTTTCTCCCTGTTCCAGGGACTCCCCATTTCCCTCTTGATTTTACTCATGACCCAAAATCCAGGATCAGGTCTTCCTGGGGCGACTGCAAACCTGCCAGACAACCTCCCTTGACCTCGCCCCAGAGGTATGGTAGCTACCATACCTGCCCAAGGTACAGGCCCTCCTCCCCACAGCGTCCACACCTCTGTCCCTGACTGAGAAGGTGCGGCGTGCAGCCCTGCACGCTGATTTAGTCAGACGCTAGATAAGGACTGCTGTGGAGGGAAGGGGTCATGCCCATATGGGCTGGTCCTGGCTGACCCTGCCTTTAAGGTCTGCAGTGGCGACCCAGGAGATGGGCAGGAAGCTCCTTCCCGGTGACTGGGTCCGACCACGGGGGAGCACATTGTTGATGGATGCAGGAGCAGGCTCTTCTTCGGCTACTCTCCATGTCCACACTCAGGACCCTCACCTCATCCTGAGATTGATTCACAGTGGGGGTGAGTCCAGGCACGGCTGCCCTCACCTGCTCCTGGGTCACGAGGAGCCCTGAGATGCTCGGTGTCCTGAGGACAGGAGTCACCCTGACTCACCTGCAGTGCTGCCAGAGCTTGGAAGAGAGCAGGGGCAGCCGGACCCTTGCGAGCATCCACCAGGATGACCAGCCCCAGCTCCCGCACCTCTTTCCTAGGGAGAGAGACAGTGTTAACCACTGCAGGTAAGATCTCTTCCATGACAGGCTTCTTCGTCTCTCGGTGAGACGCACCCTTGCCCAGACGCCCTTGGCTCCACAAATTCTTGACACATATCGATCTTCTGCTTCCTGAGGGCTCAAGCTGCTTACCAGGTGCAGATAGGGCAGTTGGGTTCACTGTGGTGGATCAGTCCTGTCTGATGGCATCTCCAGGCAAAGGGAGCGGGCTGCATGCCTGCATTTGCTGCGGCTGCTTTCTCCCACACCGCCCATCACAGAGCAGAGGCCCTGGAGCTTTCTTGTGCTAGGTCGCTTGTTCCGGCTGTAATACCATGTGGAATTCTACTCTGATGGAGTGGACAAGAGCCAGACGCGGCCGGCTGATCTCAGGACTGCAGCTCCAGGCCAGTCATTGGGTTTAGCACATTTCCAGAGCTAAAGTGGGACAGCAGAACATCCTCTAAAGGTGAAAATACTGTCAGGTGCTTGTCACGCCCCTGCATAAAAGCTCTGTCCCTACTGTGATCACGACTGTAGGCTTCAGTTCTAAATAGGACAGAACAATAAGCTAAGGCAGGGTGATGCATCCAACCCCACCTTCTGGGAGTGGCTCACACTCTACCTCAGCCACATGTGTGGGTGCTGTCTTGAACAGACACGCACGCTCACCCTGGCCCGCTTGCACAAAGCGGGGAGAGCCGCATGTCGCACCAAAGCCACATCCTAGCCAAAAGGGCGAGTGTGCACCACAGTCAGGGTGTGTTCAATTTTGGGTGTGACTGCTAAGGAATGCTTCTGAAGGGGGCGTGTGTGTCTCAGGGAAGCTAGAGTAGTAAGGGCAGAGTAGAGCATGGTGTTCTGGTGTCAAAGCCGGACTCAGAAAAGGTGAGGCTGGGAGAACGCCCCGTCTCACTCCCTCCCTCAGCTGCCCAGCTCTGCATCCATGGCTTCCTCTGCCACAGAAGCCGCTTTGTGACCCGTGTGTCTTGAAGCGCTGGAGTCCACGTGTCTGGGAGCGGTCCCGGGCAGTGCTTCAGGAGCTGGGCATGATGTTCCACTTCCTCCAAGCGTCCTGCGTCCCTCCTGGGCCCCAGTGACCTCCCTCTTCTGACACCCCTACTCCTGGTCTCTCTTCACCCCTGGTCTCCCGTGGTCTCCCTGAATTTGCATCTCAAGGTCTGCTTCTGGCCTCAGAGGCAGGACCGGTCTCACTGCCACACTGGCTGGTTCGGCATGGGAAATAACCCTTGGCAGCTCCAGACCCACACGTCCTCCTCCACTGATCTCATCCACTTGGTGGCTTTGCTGAAGGGGATGGCCACAAAGTGAACAACGCAGCCCCTCGCTGGGGGCTGGCTGCTTCCCAAGTTCAGAGACTGCTGGACCCTCCACTTGGGCTGGCTGAGAGGGATCCAATGACTCAAGTTCAGCTAGTATAGGATTAGATGGGAGAAAACGCCCTCAGGCCACCCAGCATGAACCGCCCCCGCCCCCCACCCCCCCCAGACCAAACTTGCTTCTCTCCGCCTGCCTCCTGTGGTGGATGGAGTTGGCTGGCTCCCCCTGTCGGGCTCCAGTGGGGCCCCTGGCAATGTGCAGATCTGCCCTAGACACCCTGCGCCTGCATTTCTGCAGAAGTCTCACACCATGTCCCTGCGTCACCCTGGCTTCGCCACCGGAGGTTCACGTGGCCTTCAGGCCCGGGGCATCCACTGCCTGCACCGGGTCTTTAGTCCTCATTCCTGCCTCCTGACTCAGAAAGAGACTGGCTGCTCTGGGGCTCCATGTGTGCTCTTCCTTTCGCTCAGAATGTCCTTCCCTTCTTGTCTGCAAATACTCACCATCCTCAAGGACACAGACCACATCCGGAGATCCACCCCCGCCACCCCGGCCGAGGCTGCAGCTCCCTCCCAGCATTGTGGGCTTGTCTTATGCTGGAAGATGCAACAGTTTGGGTTCCCATGTGTGTCCCTTTGAGGGTGGGAGCCATCGCCTGTTCTTTTTGTACTCTCATGCAAGTGGTGGATGGATGGATGGATTCCTTCATTGCAGAGGAGGCTGGATGGATAACAGCCAAGATCCATTCTGATTTTAAGATTCTGTGTATGGGAGAGTTTGATGGGAGTCCATTTACAAGGCACGCTCCCAGGAACACATGGCCCCCTGTAATACAGCTGCAGTAACCGAAAACCAGACATTGCTGGGCACTCTCCCTAGTAATTAATGCTGACACCTTGGGGACTTCATTCTGATAGCTGAAGGCCTGCATCACATCCCACAAGGTAGGGGGAGATTTCAGTTCCTCAAGGTGCAACAATCAATCAGGATGCTAACAAAATTACAATGGTTGTGGGGAAACAATCAGCAAACCAGAAGGCTCCACCATCAGTTACCCTAAGTGCTTTAGGGGTGATTTTCTCAACAGAGGCTTTCCACTGGAGCTTCCCAAGCTGGTGAAGATGCCTGCCCTGGGAGGGGAGTGGGGCTGTCTGAATTTTCTGTGGAAAAGGCAGAAGGCTACAGATTCAGGGGCAAGTCTTGGCCCTGCCAACCCCACAGGTACCCTAACTCATACTGTTGGTGTTTCGTTGTGGAATGGAGAGGACAGCACTCAGCCTGACAGGTCAGCCAGGCTGAGTACGCAGAAGGGTATAAACTCCAAAAACTACAGAAGGCTTTGTCCTTGTCAATCAGGATTGCTCTCCATTACTGCCCTGAGTTAATTCTGGAGGCTCCCATAAAAGAAAGCTTTTGGCAAATAGAAAATGCCATTATCTTAGTGCTTTGGTGTTTACTTGAGGCTTACAAAGTATAAGCTAATGCGAGGATGAATCTGTATTTTTTTTTTCAGGGTATTTCTTTATATTTTGAAATCTGTGCTGAAAGATAAGTTTGAAATCCCAGGCTCACCCAAAGGCAGTTAAAACCAGTGCCCTCAGATAATTGGAAATCTTGCTCTGGGAAAGGGACGTCAGGGAGCATTCTTTCTTTTCCTGCCTGATTGTTCCCACACTGAATCTACTTCTGCTATTTCAGAACAAATTCCAACAGAAAGTTCATGCACCATAGAGAGCATGAGGCATCACGTAACATGTTGCCACGTGAGCTCATATCACATGACGTGCATCTTGTCACTGAGTGAGAGAACATCACGGGATGTACCACGAAGATGATGCTCTGGACTTCAGTCTACGGACTTTACACAGATTATTTCTAATCCCTCTGACACACCTTCCAGACAGCTGCTACAATTCCAGGTTATGGGGAGGACACGGGCTTACGGAGGTACACCATCTACCCTCCAGTAAGGGCACAGCTGGGATCTGGAGCCAGGCTGTCTGACTTTGGAACCGAGCTCGGCAGCTGGGCAATGCTCCCTCCCCTAGGGGCTGTCTCCACCCAAAGCCTCAGGGACTCTTGGTCTGGTGGCCATACGGGCCGTCCAAAGCATGCCTGCATCTGATGGGATCAAGTAGTATGAAATAACACTTTAACTGTCCTTGACTCCTGCTCTCCTGTTTCTGTCCTTGGTCCATGAGGAGATCTGAAGCCATGCCCTGGTTCACACCTGCTCCACACCTTGTCATCATGCAGGATCCAGGTGGTGTGGCTTCCTGGAATTCCATGTCAGAGAGGATAGGTCTCTCTTAAGGAGCCGGCATGCTTTCTTCCTGGCACGCAGCATTGCCGAGCTGAACGTAAGGCTCACTTATGTAACGTAAGACTGAATCAGTCTTTGCGGCTTCTGGGTACCAGGTACTACTCATTTGTATGAGTTCTTGACCCACTTATTCTAAATATTCTGTTTATATCAGTTAGGTCTTTATCCCAGAAAGAGGTGGAGTATAAAAGATACACATACATAATGCTTAGAGCATTAACCAATGCAGAGCAACACAAAACTCAAGGTAGAGTATGTGTCAGAGCCTTGATTCGGTGGGGAGAGGTCTGGGTGAGCAGGAGGAGAGGAATGCATGCAGGACAGCTGACGGACGTGGAAAAGACAGCAGGAGCCTGAGGGGCAGGTGGGAGCCTGCTGCCCATGCCACCGGGGGACCCCGAGGTTGCAGACAGAGACCCTCGCACAAGACACAAGCTTGTACAGGTTTATCCCCAAAGGTCTGGAAGGTAGGAACCTGGCTCTGTCCCACCTGGGAATGCCATAGAGGTACTGCAACAGCTGGGTCAGCTCGATGCTGGAGATGTGTTTGCTGGACCAGAGCGGGCCCCTCGTGCAGACCTGCACCACTGCTCTTCCCTGGTGGTCTCGGGTCCCTGAAGAAACAGAGGGCATCGTGAGGGGGCAGCCCCAGTGGGGACATGCATGGCTTCAAGCTTGAGAAATACTGAGCTAGGGTCTGCAAACTGTTGAGGTGTTGGCTTAGATGTGAGATCTGCCAGGAGAGGAGGGGCTGGTCCTCACCTGGGCAGGAGAGCTATGCTCAGCTACAAGGGCGATGGCACTGCTGTGGCCTGAATGTTTGTGTTCCCCCCAAATCCTTATGTTGAAACCTAACCCCCAGTGTGGGGATACTAGGAGGTGGGCCTTTGGGAGGTGCTTACATTATGAGGGTGGAGCCCCATGAATGGGATTCATGGCTCTTACAAAAGACCCCACATGGCTCCCTCACTCTTTCCACCACGTGAGGATGCAGTGAAAAGGTGTCAACTATGAACCAGGAAGAGGGGCCCTCACTGGAACCTGACTGTACTGGCACCTTGATCTTGGACTACCAGCTTCCGGAACAGAGAAATACATGTCTGTTGTCTAGAAGGTATCCAGTCCCTGGTATTTTGTTATACCTGCCCAGAGTAAGACGGCCATGCTCACCTGGGAGGGTGATGACCCCGGACTGCAGGAGCTCCTGGCTGACCTCCAGCACCTGCCTGGGCATCTGATTGGGCATGTCTCCTGTGCTGGGTGGCTGTCCTCCTCCCTCGGGGCACAGTGGCTCAGCAGGCACATCTGGAATCTGGCCAGGATCATGCCTTCGGAAGGTGCTGCTGTCTGTGTCAACACCAGCTAGACAAGAGAAAGAGACCTGGTCAAAGATGAAGGGTTTCTCTGGTTTGAAGGCAGCTACTCAGCTTGCCACACACACAAGGAGAAAATCATGAGTGAAAATACTGGGTCCCATGAGAACTTGTCCCATTTCTGGTGGAAAACAGCGTGTCACACCTGCCCTGACAGGTGCATTCCTGAGCAGCATGAATAAACACATAAAAACTGAACATTCCAGTTGCACCAAGAGTGCTCACTACTTAAACACCCTTCAGGGAGAAAATTTTTATACTGAATAATGTCATCCTAATTTATTTTCTCATACAGATTTCCCAAAGAGTGTCACAAAAATATATCCACAAGGAGTGAGAGCACCCTGAGGGCAGGCAGCATCATAGTTGGGTGTGCCTCCCCCTCCTGCATCACCCAGAGAAGGGGGACCGGGCTCCCCTGCATCACCCGAGAGGGGGGTCCTGGACCTCCTGCATCACCCAGAGAAGGGGGACCTGGACTTCCTGCATCACCCAGAGAGGGGGAAGCGGGCTCTCCTGCATCACCCAGAGAGGGGGAAGTGGGCTCTCCTGCATCACCCAGAGAAGGGGGACCTGGACCTCCTGCATCACCCAGAGAGGGGGAACTGGGCTCTCCTGCATCACCCAGAGA